TGTGTGTGTGTGTGTGTGTGTGTGTGCTGACCGAGTCCTGGAAGCCAAACAGCACCAGCTGGATCTGGTTGATGGAGGTGGAGTCGAAGTCCAGGTCCAGCTTGAGCTTGGAGATGGTGGCGGCCATGACGCGCCGCTCGGGGGAATGGATGAAGTCTCGCAGGATGCAGATGATCTGTTTGATGTGATCGACGGACAGCTGGAGCTCCTCACTGCCCTACATGCACACACACACACACACACATTCAGATATGTGTTGAAACACTGGAAGGTAACGTTGAGTGTTTAATCACTGTGTGAGGACACTTAAACATAATTTGTCCCCTCGCCTCTTATAGGACTGTCACTTTTTCCAAAAGTCACCTTTGAATGATTCTTTTGAATTTGTCTCTGAATCATTTCTAAGTTCATAAACTCATTTTACTTTTTTTATTTCATTTGACTGAAAAGTCATGAGGACACAGAATACGTCAGGTGGGTAATGAGCACCCTCTGCTGGATCACAAGGCAAACTACTTCAGTGTGTTGTACATTTCCAATTCCAACAAATCATTTCAGATCAAATATGAACGCAAAGTGAAAGCCCAAGTCTCTTACACTGACTGAACCATTGCAACTTAATCCTTCCCTAAACCTAATTCTAACCTGAACCTCGGCATCAACTCTAACCCTCTGTCTGTGTCTATGAGGAGACGCTCTTTCCCAAAAAACGTCTTTTCTCCAGTAGATCCTACAACTGGTCCTCACAGACCCAGTAGTACGGGCGCTGACACACACCTGGATGTGGTTCTCCTTGAGGTTGGAGATGACCTTCTCCTGGTCGTCGTTGAGGACCTTGTAGAGGATGGAACGTCTCTCGCTGTCCTTCTTCAGCAGGAACAGGCCGCCGTCCCTGTCCTCAGGGGAGGGGGGGGCACTGCGGTCCTCCGACACTGACCCCTCATCTGGCACACTGCAACACACACACACACACACACACACAGTTATCTCATAGTGATATAAAACAAGACAATGAGGACACTCATGATTTACAACTGTGTGATGCTCCATTCTGTTTATTTGCGGATACAAGCCTCTCCTGGCGACTGTGTGTGCCCAGGAAAGTTCAAGAGGCAGCGTGAGTCAGCGCCGCAAGTCGTGCACGTATGTACACACACGTGCAGATGTGTGTGTGTGCTGTTGCCTGGTGTGTGTGTGTGTGTGTGCTCAGCCGTCAGCTGAAGCTCATAAACTGATCAGACCTCATTATGTCAGTGTAGTAAAAGGTAGTGGAGCACAGTGAGAGCACAATAAGGCCACCTGCCAGCCAAACACACACAAACAGACACACACACGTATGCAAACACGCGCACATTCATTCACATCTTTCCACACAAACTGTTCAAATATTTAGATTCATCTCGTGGTTTTTTCATTTTCTGAATCTGATTTGAGTCAAAGATCTTTTTTTTTTTTGCAGTGACACAAACGAGATCTGAGATGTTTGAGGATCCTGAACACACGTGCGCACCTCAGGTAGTTGGAGTTGGGGGGTTTGAGCAGGTTCTCGGAGCCCGAGCTCTTCTTCTTCTGGAAGAAAACATCGTGTTTGGAGTCACAGTCCGGGCTAACGGAGCCGTGTTCGCTGCTGCTGCTCCCTGTGGCCTCGCACTGCAACTGCACCGGCAGGGAGACATTGTGGATGTAGTCTGCAAATAACACACACACGTAGGAAAGTCTTGACTTGTACATTTTGTTCAGTCTTTGATCGAATTATTCTTTTTGGGTTTTAAAATGATTGAATAATAACATGAAAAACAATCATTTCTCTGCGTTTATGAACCTGATGGTTTGAAGGCGATCTTGCTCTTCTTGCCCTTCACGTTGTGCCTGACGAACATGTCTCTGAGCAGGTCTGAGGCGATGGCTCTCTTGTGGGGGTCGGGCTCAAAGCAGCGCAGGATGAACGACTTGGCGTCCAGCGACAGAGACTCTGGGATCTCTGGGTGGATCTTGAACATACCCACCTGTGACGCAGAGTTCAATCAAAACCACGATGACAGCAGATTTAGAAAGGGCTTAAACTGTAAACTTAAATGAACCTGAGTTAAGACCAACCTTAAACATGGCCGCCTGTGGTTCCCCCAGCTCATGAAAGGGCGGTTTCCCGGTGGCCATTTCTATGATGGTGCATCCGAGGGACCAGATGTCAGCCGGGGCCCCGTACCCTCGAGGGCCCTTATCGATGATTTCTGGAGCCATGTACTGCAGCGTACCTGAGGAACACACGAGGTGCAGCCGTTAAACTCAGGCACGGTGAGAGGACTGAGATCTATGAGTGTGTGTGATCTGGTGCAGCTGGACAGAAGTGAAGGGGACTGTCGGGCCTTGGCGGAGGAATGTGGCCTCATGGAGCCATTCTCGTTTTATAATTACGTCTTATTTTGTCTGTGGCCTCTGATTCTGAGCAGATTTGGCATTTGTGCTCTAAATACTGATGTAAACAGAGAGCGAGAGAGAGAGGGAGCTATAAAAAGATCAGAGTCAGAGGAGCAGCAGAGGAGAAATGAATAAGTACACACACACACACACACACACACACACATATATATACACACCTGCTAATGAAAGGTAAACACCATTCTGCCTCTGCTTGATTAGCTAATCTAATTACGCACCTCGCTGGCTGCTGGAGACGACCAGATGGCGAGTGAATGTCCGCATGTTCGTAGGCGCTCGTGTCTGGGTGTTTCCATAGCCGCCGATAGTGGCTCATGACATTTTGAGGGTCATTCGATATTTACACTTAGTCTGAGACTTGGTGTGAGTCCGCAGCATTTCTACGACTCCACTTATGAAGCCCAGACTGAATTACACACTGATGATGTGCGACGGCACTTTACTGAGATGCTTTTATTCTCTGTGAGTTCAATCTGTAATCTAGGTGATTGAGTTACGAATAAAATGCATGTTTATGTTTTCCTTTTGTGTGCAAGATATCAGCGATTAGTTGCAGGAAGAAATAAGCGTAAATAAGTTACCGGTGAAAGTTTCTGTACAGGGGTTGACTCCTGCCAAACGTTTCGAGGTACCGAAGTCGGAGATCTTCAAGACGCCACTGTAGGTGTTCACCAAGACGTTATCACCCTGATGGAAAAAGACAGATAGATAGAGAGACAGTTAATATCTAATATAATCAGCCGTCTTATCTCCTAATCTGCTTTTTTGTCGAGGCAGGAAAAACGAAGGTGTAACTTGACATTTTGACGCATCATAGACGTTAAACCACAGACGATATTAATAACGTTCACGGAGGCTGTGATTTTGTTCGGTGGTTCTATTTAAAGGCTCCCGCTATAACATGTGTTTGCTCAGTGGTAGATCAGCTGAATGAAACAGAGTTAAATTACTTACACCTGAAATGTCAAAATGTCTGCTGTGAAAAATATCTTTCTCTTGTTGCCTCTCAGAGTAAAGTTTAAGAACTCGCTGTCAAGTTTTATTTTGCGTTAGATGAGATCTTATTTTGGTTCAGACTCTTCTTGAGGCTTGTTATCATGACAACAAACTAGACGCTATGTCAACATCCCGTGCACCTTGATGTCTCTGTGGACGATCTGGTTCTCGTGCAGGTACCGGAGCCCCTCCAGGATCTGTCTGGTGTAGAAGATTATCGTCGCCTCTTTCAGCGGACCCCATTTCGACCGCAGCAACGCCGACAGGCTTCCTGGAGAGAGGAGAGAAGGAGTGTCCAAAACCTATCATGAAATGGGAAGACGACCAAGCAGTTAGAGAGACCGCCCAGTAACCCAGAGGTCACAAGACATCGATCTCGAAAATACACACTCAGCGAGAATATCTGCCCGCCTGCTCAGGTACGTTGAAATCAAGAGAATCAAAAAATACAAAACATGGATGAAGAAGTAATGATTTGTTCTCCACGTGTTTCATATTCATCTTTTGAGGTTTTTGATAAATGTCCTTTAATACATTTTGTCTGTGCTGTAGGACAAGAAGTAAAGTATTTGTCTTTTCTACCTCTCACACAATACTTGTACAGCACAGTTTCTTTCTGTCGGGTACACACACACCTCCAGGCACTTGTTCCATGAAGATCTTGATGTATCCGTTCTCAGAAACAGATCCCAGGTACTGAACGATGTTCCTGTGCTTGAGGTACTTGTGAAGGGCGATTTCCTCGTGGAGCGGCTGCGAGTATCTGATTCACAGAAAGAGAAAGAGTTCACAGGAAGTTTGGACGACTGGTTTAAATCATCAGGAGATCAAATTGTACATTTTCTCTCAAACACATTTGAACACGCACCTTTCTGCTTTTTCAAATGCGGAGAAGAGTTAAATTAAATTAAATTAAGTTCAGTTAACACCCACCTGCTGTCTCTCTCTGGAATCTCCTTGATGGCGATTCGGACCTGGTTGCTGAGGTCTCTCCCAGCGTACACCACTCCGTAGGTTCCGCGCCCCAACACCACCCTGTCCTCCGTCTCATCGGTGTCATACTCATACTGTTAACACACACAAATACTGTAATATAATGTCATCATGTACTGGCTGCAGTTACTCCAACACAAGTAAGTGTAAACCCCGCTGACCTCCAGTGTGTCTCCGTCTCCCTCCCCCTCCAGCTCCACAGAATTTCCTGTCCCATCAGATATCATCTCCTTCACCATGGAGCAGAATCTGAAGCACACAAACACAATTCACAGCTCTCGGGTCATGTTGTGATACAAATGCACATCCGTACTATACAAACACAGACACAAACACAGACACAGACACACACACACACACAC